CTTTACGTTTTAATATTTATTTTCATACTTATACTAAATTGATGTCGTTTGGCTTTCTTTTATTCGACTTTTGCCACTCATATGATATGCTGTTAGCACACTAGTGTTTATAATAAATTTATAATCTGTCTGAGCGCGTGCCTTTTAAAATCGAATGATCATTAAGACGTAAACGTCACCAGCTTTTCATGAATGTGAAGAACACGGCTTTAAATGAAAGGAAGAGAAACAATGATAGAGTTGTAGGAAGAAAAGCAGCGTTAACACGCCAATACTGTACGTGTAAGTGCTCACGTAAAGAACTCTGGCTAGAGAGGTGATTTTCTGTTCTATCTCAAGTGTGTGAGTCAAGCTGTGGTTTTCTGAACTTGTCAGACTTAGAAGTCATTATACTGCTGACTGCATATCCTAAAATCTTTTGCAATCTTAAGTGAGTTGAAGCCTTCCTTTACGAAAGCAATGCATGTCGAATAAACTTTAAATCGATTCTGATACTTGCCTATTGCTGGGGAGGTTTGAAACAAAATACCCACCGTCCATAACCCACCTCACATGACCATCTTCACGTATTTATTTTAAAGTTCTCTCTGTTATTAATGTTTTTTCTAAAAAAGGTCAATAAGCAATAAATTTGAACGAATCTAGGTGGTATTAACTAACCCGAACAACGGCTTTTGCAATTTCCTCCTAATACACTTTACTACTTATATGGAACAGATAGGAATTAAGTTATTTAAAAAACTTATTTTGTTGCGACGGTATTATTCAAAGTTCAAACTCAATGTTTAACGACACAATTAAAAACTGAAAATGCGCTGAAAGAATGCTTTTACATGATCTCCAAAATCATTTCAATCACGTCTCAGTTTAGATGGTTTCGATTCCAATTGGGTTATATGAATCGATCAACGTCACTACATTACCTCTTTTGCCCACATGAAATTCTTGAGTGGAATTCGTTGATTTGCATTCACAATATATAAATCGCTGTTTTTTCCTCTACCCCCTCGCCTTTGATAATCTGCACTACAATGTACTCTGCTTCTCGATTCGATTAGAAAAGCCGCTGTCTATTGACAGACATTATTAGCTCGTCTCGCTTCGTAACACCATTTCATCACAGTCGGGCCGATGGAAGCTTATTATTTAGAACTATTCTGCAATTTTCAGATAAATTTGGCCTATCTATAATAATCGAAATATACGAACGCAATGCTTTCCTCACTAGTCCGCATGACTTCGTTTTAATAGGTCCCACCTAATTAGAAAAATTAAAGCAAACCATCGGGGTTACTAATAATGCCCAAAAATGAATTTCAAGTATATTAAATACTCTCAGAAGAGTCATTTCGCTAAACTGCATAATATTTAGGCTTGTCAAGTATCCGATAAATGACTAATTTACGATAAAAATGTATAGTATTATTGGTCAAGGTTGTAACCCAAAATTAATTCAATCTTACATGACTTAAATTAGTAATAAATACTTTTATCAAACAGAATTCACATTTAGTTCTAATTTTAATTTGACTATTTTACAGAATCGGAAATGATAGATCTTCGGAATAAAATATACCGTTGTGGCGGATTGCTACCTTAGTAAAGCCTGACCGACTCAGAAATCTCTATGGCAGATTCTCCTACATCTAGCTAGACTCCCAGAACCAGCTAAGCTATAGCCCAGCTATAAAGGAAACAGACGTGTAGCACGGAGCACATTTATTCAGGACGTATATTGGGGATTAAGTGTGCACACACAGGGAGCTACTCATGATCAGGATGGGGGATTAGGTTAAACAGAGGTTGATGATTGGTCACTGTTTGTACGGTCGCACCTCCCAATCCTGGCGTGCAGGCATGCGAGACACACAAAGCGATAACGTGTCCCACACCGTTGTACCGAAACAAAGCAAGAACTTGTTAAGCTGAAAAAGCTATATAATTTAAAACAGAATTTGATAGTTCAAAGGAACAATAAATCCTTCTGTAAAATTTATAATCGCAATTAAACTTGGTTCATTTTCGTTAATTTGACCGATACGACTGCAAAAATTACAAACACAGCTTGAAATTTTAGAAAATCAGGGCTGATTGTGTTTGGGAAATAGTTTCTGCTGATGCATTTTCGATACAATTTTTAAGGAACTACTTGCAATTTGTTGCTGGTTATTCAACAAGAAATTGCGCATCTTTAAAATGTAATAAAGACAGATCATTACATTCAATTTTTGAAATTAAAATTACTACAGCAATAAACAAGTTGGGTTATATATATAGTATAAATGGGAACAGATGAGACCTATCTTCTTATTTGTTTCCCCAATTTTTTGGTGTCATAATTTATCCACACTAGTCAGTGTGTAATTCTTATTAAATGAAATTACATAAGCCTTTCTTTTAACCGAACTGGACTCAAAATATCTACAAGTTATTGATAAGGGTTTAACAGTCGGCAATAGGTTTAATACAATGTAAATTTAACTAGTATTGAAGTAAATGTATTGGAAGCACAATAAATAGAAAGCAATAAAATTATTTTTTGCACAATTATTGATCTATACGACAAGAGGAATAAATTCGACTCGAAGTATTGAAACGAAATTAAAACCATGCTAGAACTCCTGTCGCTATTTCATCCTCCATACAGAACATAAACGTAGAGGTAATAAAAATGGCTTCCCCAACTGTTCTAAATTGGCCTAGTTTACGATACCCAATAAATTTTGAACGCTAAAACGGCAAGCTTGAAGCTTTCAATTTCGAAAATTTGACCATAGGTCATAGCAAAAGTGCATGGAAATATCGACAAAAAACCGTCTAGACAAATTCTGAGCCACTGACCTTCTAGATGAGTAGTTTTGGGTTTGCAAAAACAGAAGATTATTGGTTTTTATGAATTCATTTTAGTAGTTAGTTATAATTGATAATTAATTAAAAGTACGCTTCATAGAATAAATGTAAGTATTTTTCATTCATTAATGTGCTCTTTGCTTAAGAACCCATGCTATCAAATCGTTATATCTAGTATGATGAACTTTCATTCATTTCACCATATTTGCAAAAGTATTAGTACAAAATATTTTTTCGAAAATCATTGGTTCAGGTGTTAGCAGCTTCAACAATGAATTTTTTTCAGGAGATTATGAATTGTGTGGGAAACTTCGGAATTGATGATTTCTAAAAAGGTGTTGAGTGCTCAACGCCACCAATGCTAGGCAAAAAAATCTCAGCACACCCGAACATTCCCGAAGGTGCAGTGATTGCGTGCGGTCATGAATACGGAGACCTCTCAACCAACCAGCAATCAACACTCGGTGTTTCTGCTATAAATGCAAGCAAGATGCGCTCCCTTTGGATAGCATTTAATTTCGTTATATTATTGCTCCTTCTAATTAATCCATCCAAAGTGGATGTGGAGGCATAATTCATAACTCTTTTAGCTTTCCAACAAATTTGATGTAATGAAATTTCCCACTACATTGAAAAATTATGAAGCTAAATCAATTTGTCAACAGTAAATAAAAATCGCTAGCTTTATCCCAAGGGTTTTTTTAAAATTTATACGTGGAGTATTTTGTCATTATAAATTCAGTTGAATTCCTTTTGTGAATGTGGCCAATTCAGTGCTTCTCAAGCTCAAAAAAATTAGAAAAGCTGACATTTTGATACCCTGTCGAAACCTCAGTCTCCCTTTCCGTCCCAAAAAGATATGATGCATCACTACGTGATTCATTTTGCCCGTTCACTCTATTTGCGTCATTTATTGCTTAGACAAGCCCCATTAAAATGCTTGCCAAATGCACATTCTCCAAAAATTGCGGTATAGGTAACCCATTATCAACTTAACTGTATAATGACTTAGTAAAACTGCCGATAAAAGAATAAAAAAAATAGGAAAATGAAATTATTCAAATCTAACATGAAGTGGGATCTTTCCACATTAATCTGTAAAGAAGCCTGCAATTGTGTGAACCAGAAGTTCAAGCTTTCCAATAAACAACTCGGTTAACTTGCCTTTAGATTTCTTTATCCATCAGACAAATATAGGCTACAAAAGCGTCAGCTCCATTTGGCGGATATTAACCGATTTCGCCTTCGCGATCGACCACAACACACACGAAACGTTAATTTCATAACTCGTCTCCATGACTAAACACTACCATATATTTAGTTAGTCCTAAAGATGATAACTGATTTTGTTAAGCCTAACTTAGTCAAGATATTAAAGTACCATATAAATAGTACTGTAGTTAAAGAAATCCTCCCCATGACTTATAATTTAATATTTTGTAGCATGATAAACTTACGTAAGCAAATCAATATTTCGTACTTACTTTGATTTGTCAGAACTGTATACTATTTGGATTTTTTGTTACAATGGCGTTGTAGGTGGACAGGTTGAAATATGATACATATTATCAATCATTCGAATAAGGATGTAAAGATTTTCCAAGCGTGACCAAAATCTGTTTTTTAACTTGTGCTTTACTTTGTGAAGTTACTTCTCTGTTGGGAATACGTAACTACTTTCTTATAAGAAATGCAATTAAAAATTGTTACAGATGTCTAAAGGTGATATCAGTGTCCTCAACAAGAATTCAAATGAAATGAACGAAAAGGAAAGGAAGGCAAATTAAGAAACGAATTTTATGAGCATATAAACTGAAGTGCACTTTTCAATTAATATTTCAACTGTCTTCAGAAAATCGAGAAATCCAATGGGGTTGCACAAACGTTAATAATCATACAAATGATCACTAACGTGGCAAATATTAAACTACATTGTCCAGAAAATTTTTATTTTTTCTGTCAAATTTGCGTAATTAGTCATTATCTGAATGATTTACTTTAAATTAACGTAAAAATACTCTTTATTCCAAAGGGATGCTGTAAATAAAATAATCAGTTCATCTGATTGGTTAACCACATTAGCCAGTCAGAGCCTGCCAATAAAATCTCAAAAAAGGCAGCTATTACAGTAGCCCAGTAACAAGTTACAGATGGAGATGCACCGTTCGTCCGAATATTTCTCTATTATACTTTGGTTTCTTATTTTAATACTTCACTTGGGTAAAGGGAAGATATTAATCTCAGGAACCAGAGAATGGGGAACGTTGTGCAAGCTGAATAAAACTGAATTTCAACCAGAAATAATAAATCCTCAAAACACTTTGTCATCGCTTTTTCCTGCTTTACGAAACCTGAACAAAATACCAAGTAAGCCTCCCCTTGAACCATGTTGTTTTCCACGAAATTGGGAAGCTTCTTTCATCGTTCATACAAGACGAATTGGAAGAGCACCGAAAAGCAATCGTTGCATCTACCGCATACGTCGTAACCCACTCAATTCCTCCGAATTTGAAGCCCTAATGATTATTGGTCAGAATGTATACTCCAATAGTATTTGCCACGACTGGAAAGGACCGAGTATTCAAACATGTCCAAGAGATGAAAAGATTTGTCTCCAAGTTCCATTTGTTGGGGAACCACGGTGTATTTCGGAAGAAAATGGATTTAACTACATACCTACGAACGAAAGTCCACAGAAAGAGATGTGGTTTACGGACTCTAGAATTCCATCAGGAGGTATTAATAGGCATGTCTACATCTTCTCAAGAAAGTATAAGATCTGTAAATTGGAGCAATATGAAGTTCTTACCGGACAGTATGTAGATTCACGAGCCAACTGTCGCATAATGTTCCTGATGGATGAGGTATTCATTCCAACCAACGGGAGCTTTATTGTCAATTTTAACTATAGTATTACAGATGGTTTATTTCGTTGTTAGAGGACTCCTTCGTTGAATATTTCTCTACACCTAATCAAATTTGTACTTTCCAGCCTGAAAATGCTAATAAATGGAAGGGCGGAAGTCAACAATTAAAATGATATTTTTTTAACAACTTCCGTTTCAACCTCCATTGAAATACTGGCGCCAACTGGAAGGAGAAGCTTCAACATAGAAAAATTTTATTAAGTAAGGCATCTTAAGAAAATTATCAATGGAGATTTTTCATTTGGATTGCCTTTTTTAACTGGTTCGTACTTTGATATTGTTATTTGGTAACCTAATGCAAAAGTGGCTAATAGTCTTTCCAATCAACGAAATGACTATATATCGAATGATACTTTGGCAAAAATAATAAGCAAGCAAAGAGGTTGTTTTTAATACCATTAAAATTTTATAACATGCCTACTAAAGATACAATAATTGAGAAAATGTGTGTTTACCGATTTACTTAAAATTTACTAAATGTATCAGTTCAGCCATTATTTTGCCCTTGTTATAGTCCTTTTATTTAATAGAATCTAAAAATGTGGGGTGTTTTGAAATAAATTGAAAATTGGGAAAGATTTTGCGAGACTGACCTAGTATGCCTATATATATGTATATATATGACCAGATTTAAATGACCAAGATTTAAGCTGGGGCAATTGAGAAATGAGTGAGAGAGGAAAGAAGGAATATGTGAAGAGAGGATTGTGATGAATAGGAGGAGCGATGTACAAAAGAATGATTGGCCGAATTTGAGTTCTTTGTTCATTAATGGTGAATTAGCAGTTAGGGCAGGGACCTGAGTCAACGGACTCGTATGTACCTACAAGCTCTATCACTAAATTAGAATGTCATTGAATCTTTTAAAATGAATTTAGTCATGCTCAGCTGGGTTTTCCTGTTTCCATTTTATCCTTATTTTATACACCTGGTTGGTTATTTAGTTTTCACGCCGTACTACCCATTCAGGTAATATTTGGGGGGATTACAAATAACAAAAAGACCCATTTTTCCGGCAATCGAAGTTTGCCCATAACAGCTTGATCTTCAAAAAATGGAAAAAAGAAAGCATAAAATAGCGCATTTGGGGGTGGAAAGCATTTGAAACAACTTAGGAAAATTTATGTTGCGGCAATATGTACTTAATTTGGTTTTAAAAATCCCTCCACATCAGTTCAGCTAATGCCATATTTTCACTATAAACTAAAAGCTACTAAACGCATCTATTTATAGTATCATTGATCTCCTTCCCTAGGGTTAGTGTCGAATCAATAACTACCACTTATCAAATATTAGTCTCGATCCATAAGAGCGATAATCCCGATACATTTATATTGCGTGTTGTTAAAGCATTTCAAATAGATTTCGGACTCATCTAAGATAACTCCATTCAAAAAGAAACTTTAAAACTGTGCAGTGTACCAACCGTATGTTGGAAAGGGTTAAGTATGTCTCTACCAAGGGTAGAGCGACAACCCCCAGTCAAAGAATTGATGAGAACTCTAGAGAAGGAATTGATGAAAAGAGGGTGGATGGAAATAAACCTATTTCCCGATTCAATGATCTGTCACAAAAAAACATATCCCCTTCGCCGAATATGCTCCAACCATGCAAGTTGACAGTAGGGGTGGCAGTGCTGGGAGATAATAAAACAATTTAATTCATAATTTGCTGAAATGAGATTAAGAGAGAAATTGGGAGTGAAAACGGGGTCAGCTACAATGTTATTCTTTATACTCAGATTTATTCTGCAATCTTTTGTGATTCATTCAATGTTGAAATAATATCTTAGTATAGATCCTAGTTGCGAATTTCTTCGATTGCGAGATTTCCTCAGGTTTGCCTCACCACTTATCTTTTGAGTCAACATTTAAGTCCAGATAAATGAAAATAAATGCCATTTACAACCAGTGAAGTTATTTAAAAAGCTTAATTTAGTACGATGCATAAGCAAGATACCCTGATAAGGGAAGACAACCTTTAAACAATACCGCGTTCCCCCCCCCCCCACCCCCACCCTATAGTTGGTATAAATGAATTACTTTAAGCAACCGCTTACAAGTGGACACTGGAATAGACGCATACAAATCCATGGTTAAAGTAAACAAACAAGTCACAAGTCTTAAGTTTAACAGTTCTATCATGGCTGAAACACCGTTGCCTAAAGGCAATCTTTGACACCATCAAATGTATCAGTCCCTAAAACACAAGAAATCCCGAATTCGAATATCTTACATTAAAACTCAGCTTCAACAAACCAAGGAGTTCGACCCTTCGTTCCGATTTCAAAAATAAGTATACTAAGTTGTCATAAGAGATTTTAAGTAAACCAGTTTATTCACACTTTTAACAAAAATGAGAAAAATAAAAACAAATATGTTATGTCAAATGCTCTAATTACAAGATATCTAGTGCCTACAATTTGAACCAATCAGAGCTTCCAAATCGGAGATTGAATAAGGCACACAGGTACTCAGTTTTTCAGCTTTTCCTTCAGTAGTAAAAACATAGTCATCTTCATGTCGTAGACCCATTCCACGGAATTCCTCAGCAACAGGCACTCTCCCTCCAGAACCGGGGAAGTAAATTCCCGGTTCAAGGGGAAATACCATTCCGGGCTCGAAATTGCGGCCATAGGAAACACTACTTGTATCATGTACATCCATTCCAAGATAATGGCCAATATGGTGTGGACAAATAGCCGCACCAACCTAAATTTATAGAATTATGAAAAAATCTAAGTATACCTTGCTAAACTCCTTTTCACTGACACGAATAATCTTCTCTTCGTTGAGGTAGTATGCCAATCTCCTCACCATTATACCATAGAGTTTTTCTAGGCTATAATCAGGACTTGCAACTTTCTGGCATTCTGATTGAACTTGAATTAGAATCTCAAGGAGAAGTTTTTGATTACGTGAAAAGACACCTAGCTAAAGGAATAAGCGGGGAAATTAGACCTTGCATACCGTTTACAGGCCAAGTTCGTGAGATATCAGCAGTATAGCCCTCGACATCACATCCCACATCCATTAGAACTAAATCGCCGTCCTCGACGCGTTCAGAATTCCTTAAATAGTGAATTATATTAGCTCGGTTACCACCAGCAACAACAGCTGGATAACCTAAACCACTTCCCAAGAGGGAGGATTCGAACTGGAATCGAGCAGACAATTCAGCCTCACGCATACCAGGGTAAGCCGACGCCATCGTCTTTTTAAGGGCAATTGCAGTGTTCTCAACAGCCTTTCTCATGATTTTTAGCTCGGCTTCAGATTTTATCACCCGTAATTCGTCGATTAGAGGGTTTGGGTTTTTAAGTTGAGATTTGGTCAATTTGTTATCAGTGAAATGCTCTGAGACAAGAGAAAAAATCGGCCGATTAACTGGCGCCCTCTCTCCAGATTTAACAATAAATGGTGAGCTAAACCACAATAATCCATCAGTGTTGGAGAGATCGGATAACGCTTTTTTGAAATAACTTGATAGATATTTGGTAGGGAGAGTTTGTTTAATGCCAGTAAGCTTCGTAGCTTCTGAAATGCCCAAGGATGGACCATCCCAGAGTGTGTCGTAAGCAGTTCGTTCTTCTACAAATAGACGAGGAAGAAAGGAAAAATTATCGCCAGATTTGCATTCAATCTCCAGTGAAAGAACAGCATTAGGCTCGGTAATTCCAGTCAAATATCGAAAGTATGAGTCTTGTCTAAAACTGTAGGGGACATGAAGGGAGGAATATTTCACCTCAGCAGATGGAATAATAACTAAATGGTGGACGGATGATTGATTGGTCGGACTAATTTGAGCAATCTTTTCGACCAGTTTCGATCTTCTCAGAACATATTCGGATTTTGAGATAGAAACAGAGGAAGAAAAAGGACGCAAGAATGAGCGCAAAGTGCGAACCGTGAATGTGTATGACAACATCTAAAATCAGCAAAAACAGTGTTAGAAGTATTGCTTCATTTCCAAGATCTATACTAAAGACTCAACACGAATTGGCAACAATCTAATAAAACGCCCGAAACACGTGTATTTTCAGACCCCAAAGTTATCAGGTAAAACGACACCTGGCTAAGCTAGCGACCTCGCTGACCAATAGGTACTCCATATGCTTAAAGTAACCAATCATACTGTACCAATGGATGGATTAGCTAATGACCATTCACGCTAACTTGCCTTGTGCTGAAGGCATTCATGATGAAGCCATTTCTTTATCTTCTCTTTCCTGTTCTACAATCTTCCGGTGAATGTCTCATAACTGTATCGTTATTAGCAGTATACCAGATATAAGTTTGAATCTCACGTGGTAATAGTGGCCAATTGATCTTTTTGTTATTTAGCAGGATATATAATGATGACGTAATCGCATTCTGAAAGTGGTCTGACTAGATATTTTATAGACTAAAAATAACTTTAGTCTAGTTATTGCGTCTTTGATTGTAGTCTACATGCTAGCACCATTAATGTTTCTCAATATTTTCATAAACCAATGCTGGTTATCACTGTTTAAGTCAGATAGTATTCGATATCTTAATACTGATCTAAGCAGATCGTATTCACTGCGTCACGAACCTACCTGTCGAAAGGCCCTCAACAATTCAATAATTACTGATTTCTACAAGCTAATATTGCCTGACCAGCTACTTTGTAATTTCTATCTGACATGGCTCCGTTTGATGACACAGGTCGATTTTGTAACATGCGATTTATTTACTCCATCTCTACATTTGCCCTCTATTTACCATAAGCGTTCCTCAAATCAGCTCAACTCTTTACTAGCCTCTGCGAGTTCGCACAAGCCTGCCCTCTAGCTCCCATCTCTTCCCGCAATAAACTCGACTTTTATAAACCCTCTCTGCTTCACACCTACGCGGTGAAAATCACCGCCTGTAGGAAGAGTGATAACTAAGACATGATTCATACCCCAAAACAATCGATCTTTGACAACTCCACTCACCTCAATAAGTTAAGTACCACAGCCAAGCTTATGAATTTTTTTACAAAATATCGCTGCATTTATTCTCTCGAACTTTAATAGACTTTACATGACAAAGACCGATTATACTTTTCAAAACGATATAAAACAGTTTTTCCCTCAAAATACACGCTGGGAGATTCCCGTTGCGGTGAGGGTTTCCACTTCACTTAAAATTGCCTCCGAGGGTAGATCAATATTCGTGAGCAGTTTCAATCTCTGGCAAAGGATCGAATTCTTCTCGTCCAGTTCTTCAGAAATTTCACTTCCTGTCTCCGGCTTTAAAGGCAGGTCATTATTAAGAAAAACAGAGATTAGGCGAATCACTGTGACAGCTATCTCGCTTTTGACAACCCTGAAAAAGGATGGTAGATTTAAGCATTGCTACTTAAAAAAGATAGTAGACGAGAGATTTAATAAGCCAACAAACCTGTCGCGAACAGTAGGGGTGGGCATTGATTGAAGCAAATCAACCAGCTGCTGAGCATTTGCCAAAAGATCCTCCAGGATATCGGAAATATCTCTTACTCGATTACCATCCATATAACTGTCACTTTCCATCCTCTCCTCATCAGTTTTATTACAGAGAGAAAGTTGATATGCAAGGCTGAGAATTCGAGCATACACCACATAGACTTCAGCACCCCTTTCAAAGGCGGATGGAAGACTATCTCGAGGAATTCCATTAAAAGGCTGTAGAACTGTCATGAGTTTGGTAGCCAAAGAGACAGGACTTCCACCGGTAGCAAGGTGTGCATCAGCTAGAACGGAGGATACTGAAACTGGGCTAGAATGAAGCATTATATCAGGAAGAAGGTGCTTCATATAAACCTCGTGGGCAGCATCATAGTGTTGTGATGCTAGCCAATGAGCGGCCTCTAAACTAGCCAATAGACGATAAGTTTCCGCGTCGACAGCTGACGAATGTGAAGCGAGAAGAGATCGAGCCAAACAGGCTTTCGCTTCATGGAGCCACTTGACAGGAACACCAAATCTCTGCAGGATAAAGGACTCAGCCTCGTTGAAACGACTGACAGATTCTTCATCAAGCCTCCACTGCCCTTCGGGCGTTCTTTCGAGTGACTGAAGCTTGACGTTTCGGGCGATCAGTCGCTTGACAGATGCAGCACGAGAACGCGGGTCAACTTCATGCATGAGGGCAAAGACAGCCCATTCCCAGAGACCACCAGCTTCCAAATGGCTAGCCAATTCTTCATGCAAACGAGCTGTAGCGATCGGATTAAGAGAACCCAGTCCAAGAGACACGAGAACACGCCATAGATGCCAAGAAGAGGACCAGCTACTGTCACTGACTAGGAGTTCACCAGATGGCTGATTTTGACGCTGTTTGGGACTACTGCGAATACTCTGAGGATCAAGAGTTCGCTCCAAACTGTGCCAGGGGCGTGTAGACAAACGTAAGAGGTGGTAACACACATCTCGAGAACTGCTCCGCGATAGCATAACTAACAGGTAAGAAAGATGTGTATTGGTCAAGGGACTCATTTTAGCTTGTTAACTTATTACTGGATCTGTAACTATCTATTTTGAAATACCCACCCTATAATACTTAAGAAAGCATTATGAAAAAGTACTCTCGACGCACAATGACGAAAAGCTCAAATTCCATCACCCCTCTTGTTCGATTGGCCGTCCACATCACTGAATAGGTAGCGATCCTTTGAACTCGTTTACACATTAACAATTGTAGGTGAATATTTCCGGTAAAAGCGAGCCAAACTCAGAGGCTTCATTTATCACCTATTGGGTTATCAACTGATGAATTCCTAACCCATACACGGATATGCAAGATAGTTAAAGATGAAATTAATAGTTGTCTACGCAAAATGCATTACGAAAATAACGGTTGTTTGGGAAGCTGATCTTCTACTTTCTTCCAAGGCTCTAATAATTCAAAGCTTTAGGAAGAAGCAACCTAGAGGTATAAACGAATTGTACTAACTCTGAGAAGGAGCACCACCAGATCTCTTAAGCGATGATGAGCTGTTCGACATTTTCAGATCAGCATCTTCGGGAGGTCGCGGTGGAGCAACTTCAAAAGTATCACAGGCATGCCAGTTAATGGAGAAGAGCCTGAGAGCAGATGCTAAATCGGTCGAATGATCCACCAGGTACCACAGATGGACACCCAGAGCCTGGAGATAAGGGACACCTGCCAATACATTAATTACTGTCTTGCCCTTGTTTCCCGTTATTGGCACCTTGATTTCGCCCGCTAGAAGAGCGTATGTGCGTAGAATTGATTGAGGCATGAAAGGCAGAACCTATTAAGAATATACAAGAAAAACAGTGACAATGAAAAAGAATGGTTTTATTGATAAGTAATAAAATTCCATTGAGCAAGACTGAACAAATAATAAGTGACATGTATGAGGCCAGCTATATCATTGGCTTCCACAATCTGGTTCCGACTCATCACTTCCCACAATTTGGGTGACAATACAAGATGACATTCAAATTTTTTAAAAAGTGTGACTTAAAATGAGAATATCCTAAATGAAAAGCGATCTCACCTTGAGTTCATTCCACACACGGAGCTGTTTTTGCAAACCCCGCTTACAAAGAGGGTCACTGATGGCAGCCATTGAGAGACAACTGGCGAGATGGGACATACGGCAAGTGAGAGCAAGTCGGCAGGCCATTCCGGTCTCTCCACAACAAAGACAAGCAAATATACCCTCATAGACGGCTGATTTCGTAACTTTTTCAGAAAGATTCCAAGGGGGTTGAGAGGCATCTTTAACACTCAAAAGATGAGCTACTTTGAGCTCCTTTAATCGACCATCCAACCAGGGGCGTAACTCAGCCCTATGAAGAGTAAAAGACGGTGTTAATGAAGATATTGTTTACCAACCGATAAGCGAGCGTGAAATGAACTAAATGTGGAGTATCAAGTTTTTCAATCTTTTCATATTTCAGACAAATTGATAATTCCTTCGGAATTTGTTTATTCCCAGTCTTAATCTATCAATTATTCCAATTTCTAAGCCATCTATGATGAATTTCAATAGTTGCATTTTCAAAATGCATGTATCAGTAAGTGCATTTTCCACGCTTTTACAAAGTGTCCCATGAAAACGATCGAACAAAAGTGCATTTCAAACTACCGTCAGCGAGGAAATACCCAGTCAGCTTTGTAGATAATTAATCTAGGACAAACCTTAAGTTAAAAGTTGACCACAGTTCTTTAAATTTAGCATCTACAAAGCAACTAGGACTATATATACTGAACACCGTCTTCAGTCGATTTTTAAAACAGTCCCAGGTCCTTACCTAATCCATTCGGACACAGCCTGACGTCGAGAGAGGTCATTCATAGCATCCGAATCTGAAACACTTTCGCGAGAACAAGCATCAACCAGATCATCAGGTTCTTGTTTATCGAAACCAAAGTCACGCGGCTGACATGGTACGAATTCTTCATGAAGTCCCAAAGTATCATTATGTCGAGCCCAAAGAGCTTGACAGAGGAGCAGAGCACGACGAAGAGCTCTCATTTTTTCAGAGTATTCAGAGTCCTCCGTCAATCCATTACGGCTGCCTAGATATCCCAGGTAAGATTCCAAAACACACGGACCAGATTGTGGATGGAATAGTGGACAGAAACCTATTTCCACGGCAGTTTGTGTTGATGTCTCTAGAGCTGAGTTAAGTAGGAGCTAAAGAAAAGATATTATAACTAATTATGAAAACACACTACTTATATGATTTCAGTAGACTAATTTAACTTACCTCCTCTTGGGGATCAATCTGAACGGGAACTGTAGAGGCAACAACGTGAGCAGGAGGATCAGAAGTGGGATCACTTGTGAGTAGGACAAGTTGTGGAGGAAGATCTTTTCGCGGAAATAAACTCCAACAAAGTCGGGCAACGTCACCTCTACCGAAACCAGCATCGAAACAGCTGAGTCGAAAGTCAATAGATTTGCCTATTAGATTGGAAAACAAAGTTCGTGGTCATACATTCATTGGTTCATGCAAATATTCCTAAGTTGATGGAAAATAATAGACGTAAATTAAAATGAGAAATCTTGCGAATCACTTCAAGGCTTTTTGGGACTACGGCACGAACACTATGACATTTTGGTTTTCTTACATTCGGATTGAGAGAATTCAAGCAAAATAGAGATCAAAGGTTGACACGCGTCAGTAGCTTGGTGATCAGAAGTGGAAATCTACGCGAAGGCAATCATTTGCTCAAATCTACGAGCTACTATCTGTTATTGCAAAATAAAGTCGCAAAAAGTACTAGTAAATGGTAACCTAAACGGGAATCTACTGAGTTCAGCTTTATTTAAGATGGATTAGCAAAGCTAACCTTTCTGCTCATCAGTGAAAAACAATGAAAAATGATATAGCAAACAATTCTATTAAGCTGAAATGTCAAAAAACCCTGAATATCACCTAAATAAATTCGTACAGACAGCTAGGAGTCGAGCCATGACAACTGAGCTTAAGGAAACACAAACATTGTCAAGCGAAGCGTAAATCACTACAAAAGTAGACGACCTAGCACTTCTAGAACTCTGATAAAGTAGCACTCTTATCAAACAGGCTTTACTGCGTAATTTTCTTCTACCATCCACTCTATCGATTACAAGATCTCAAAGGAGAACGAATCAATACTTTGTTGTGCCTACGAAAGTACATAGATTCAGTCATAGATATGCCACTTCTATGGAAAAACCGCGATAGGTCACATGACGAGGTCAACCGTCAATCATCGACTTGCCTCTTTTGAAGCGACTGGATAATGACGACCAATGAATGGGTCAATCTTCACCCGCTTGCACAATATGGGCACATTCAATTTTAGATGACAAATTGAATCTTTGATTAATCAATAAATGTTAGGGCATACCTCTCTTTCGGGTCTGAAGGACTGTACTATACCCTATAAAATGACTTGACCACACAGCAAAAGACGAGGTTTTTGCTGTCCAGATTATTCAGATACTAGTCTATTATTAAAACTAGCATAAAAACAACTTCGCGTTGTCATCAACAATAATAAAAGCAAACACTCACCAATGAGGAGTTCCTGAATTCTATCAAAGGGCAATGAGCAGAGTTTCTTCTTATCCACTTTGGGTAACACAATGGTATGATCACAGGCAGTTGGGTTGTGAACGCACTGCAAGGAATCAAATTTTAGGACATTGGCTGCTGCTGCTGCTATATCTTGTTCCTCTTGGCTAATGAAGCGGGAGGTCTTTGTGGCAAAAGAAGAAAGGTCATTCAACTCAAGAGAAGTGGTATCTAGAAAAGGGAGGGAAAATTAAGTACAATTAGATTAGCGGCTTGATGACTCAATTCCAAATCCGAACCAAATACTCTCCACATCACACCCCCAAGCCACACAGCGTGTTGAGTAATAAGTAAGCGACTAATCACTATTGCGCAATATTAAAAATAACCCAAATATCATGCAAATTGTCAAGCCTAGAGATATGGGAAAAAAACAAAATATTCATTTTCTATTTTGATCAGCCCTAAATAGTTACACCCCAGAAAGCATCAAAAGAGTAAATGATCTAGCTTTAATCAAAAGTAGCACGTGTAGTCACTTCGGAAATTTATCCAATTTTTAAATAGCATTATTTCCATTCAACAAGATTTGACACATAATCTCAGTTTATGGACATCGAAATTAGCTAAAAGTTGAATCATTTTAGCAATTAATATATTTGTTATTATTCCAGAATAAAATAAACTTTTTAAGTGGATAAAACCTGCTAAATTGAGTATATCTAACTGTAAAGCTTGAGTAACAATAGAATGGTACAAAATTGAAAAAAATAACATGTTTTATCAATTAACGAAAGTAATAATTACCCCAACGAGCAGGGGCGATAGCAATAACAAGATTGTCATTGCAAGGCTTCACAGTCTCGAACCCCAACTGTGCCCATTCAAGGAGTGAAATAATCAATATTTACTGATGGTCGAGTGTGATTTCAAAAATTATCCATGTGCTGATAATCAACTTGCTTTTTCTTTGATAATTGAAATATTCAATGAAAATGGGTGTACATATAGCCAATAACCAAATAACGCTCCCTTTATAAAGAAATTCAAAAACATGAAGACGGATAAATGGCACCATTATTGAGCTGCTTTGACTTATTAAATAATGGGTTTTTTAAAGTACTATTTAGTGAATATTACTAAACAAATGTATAATATTCCTCGGTTTTACAATCAAGACAGACACCCAGAAATTTGGTTATTTGTCAGGAAGTAAAAGAAAGAATTGATATTTAAAAAAACTAGATAGTAATTAAAACATTAACGATTTAAAGCTCGAATCGAAATTTATTAGAAGGCAAAATTCGATTTAATTAGGGCGATGATATTCATATAAAGTGACAAAGAATAGTTAGTTGAAATGGGGCTTTTATGAAAGAAGGCGCCTACTCTCGAATTGGGTTGGTTGGGGCAGATTGAAGGCCTTCTCCTTTTGGAATAGTCGTCGAGAGAGAAAATCAGCCTGGTCATCTACATCGTCATATTCCATTCCACCATTATCATCCATGGAGGAACCAGTAGAAAAAAGATAATCTCGAACTCCCTTGAAGCCTCGAGGTGAATGCCAAGTGTTACGAGAAGCATTCAAAGCTGCGCTTTCGGGAATGGGAGAGTCTACCATTCCCAATACCTTGTTTGAGTCGACGTTAACCTATAAACAGAGGAAAAGTTTCATAAGACGTGGTAAATACAAAAATAGCTGCATGTACATCGCCTTTATGTACCAATATTAAGAGGACTCAGATTTATTAAACGCTGAAATGCTTTCACAGTGAAGAGTTAAGCTAAGAGAGGAAGCTTTTTCGATCAATCACAGTACCGAAAATAGTATTTGATTCGTAGAAACCACCTCGTCAAAGCCACATTAGCATACAATTTTACACCCAAGCTTTCCGATCTCGATGATTCAGGAGAAAGATTCATTTGCAGCTATTCAGAAAATTCATTGAAAAATCTAAACAATATTGGAGTATGAAGCTCTACTGATTACGGTAAAGTTCGATCAGCACCAAAAAGGCGAAAAAGGTTCTGGCAAATTTACTACCCATTAGGAAGTAACTTGGGATTTACACTCGGAGAATCAGAATTAACGAATATGTTCAAAGCAACAAAGAGAAAACGCATCCGCAACGATACTGCTTTCCTACTCTCCACCACTTTTACAATATTGGATTCATGATTGTTGGTGATTTCCGTTGGGTAAATAAAATGCAGGATGGTGTGTTGGTCATGACTTCTTACGTTCACTCATACTATGTGATCATTTATTCATCACATCCTTCTTTTAACAGGCATTCTAACAAGTAACATAACCAGTTACGCTATTTCCGTTCTATAGACAGTGCTTTCTATTCAAAATGCAAAGTGATAACTAACGGATATTCATACCTTTCGAGAGTTGCTGACTTCCGCAGCTCTTTCATTTGCCCATTTAGTTTGCGAAGGTATTTCAGCTTCCTCTTCGTCATCTGAATCATCCAGACGGTATTTTGAGAAGTGCTTCACTTCAAACACCCAGGATCCGGTATCTGGTCGGTATTCGATAAATCTAAAGCAATAAATGCACATTAAATCACCACTTCAGTCAAATATGTCAATATTAATTTTTTTCCCAAATACTTATATTAATCAAATATTAAGACACAAACATACGTAGCATCCATCTTTTGTGTATACTTCTCCAGTCGTTCATCAAACTTCATAGAAGCAATTCTCTGAGGTGATTTTATAAACTCCCTCGTGGATTTATCCGTTGGCCAGACACCATCTAGGGTAACTTCTGCTTTCCTATTGAGACCATATCCTTGTGGCGGCTTGACGGAATCGTCGGGGTAGACAACCACTTCACGACGTCGAATGTGAACCACTTCATCAAAATCGATTCCAGTGATATCTGTCAACCCCGGGAAGAGGATGTGACCATAAGACTAAAAGGAGGAAACAAAGGGGATAAATTGAAAAAGCTTAAACAATGGAAAGAAGAAATAAAAGACTTACTTGTCTTCCAATGACGAAATCCTGGACAACACAACGCCCAGACTCATCGATCAAATCAACTAACTCATCCAAAGTAGGGAACATATAGTACCCCGGTTTTGATAAACGTATGCCAGCTCTATTTGTAGTCGCAGTATGACTTGAATCGGATGTTTCGTCATTTTGTACAATTGATGGTGAAGCTAGCTGAGTATCATGTGTCATAGTCCAGTTGGCATCTACAGATAGATTGCAAGCATTTGCTGGACTGTTCGAAATATTCTGTTGGGGTGTTTGGGGAGCTTGTTTCCGACTATTTACCTAAAAAAGAGTCATAGTTAAAAAGGGTTTACGATAGACCAAGAGAAGAATTAAACATACCAACTCTTCACCACCAGTTGACCTGTTTGACAAAGGCGTGGACGTTGCAGTATCGAGAAACTTAACCCTAGTAACCGGGGAAGAGACTGCAGTCACACCAGCATCTCCTGCACCCTTATTTAACTTGGGCGATCTTGGTGGAGGAACATTGCTACTTACTTGTGATTCACTTTCATCACTTTCTTCAATCTGTTGTTGTTCCAAATCAGAAACTGCCAGAGATGAACGTTCGATGATCGAGTTCCTAACACAACTGGGGATATTGAGGCGTTTCCAAGTATCTCTGCGCACAAAGAAACGGCTATCAGAAGCACCATTGGACTTATTTAGGGAAATATCTCCTACATTGCTCCTTATGTTCCCTGACATAGGAGACTGAGCAGAAACAAGAGCATCGTCCTCTTGAAAACCAGTGAAGAGTTGTCTTTTGTTGAGAGGAACTTGTTGCATAGGTCCACGCGTGACAAAACCCTTGCCAATTCTAGCTGGACTTCTAGCGAGCGAATTTGTTTTGTGCAACTCTGCTATAGTACTCGCAGCAGCTGAAACTGACATCACAGAACCACCTCCAGTAGTTTTTGAAACTGCAGTAGAGGTGGTTGTGGTGACTATGGTCGACGCAGAAGATGGTGCAGTAGATGAAAAATGTCCAACATCAAGGTGTTTGAAGAGAGAAGACTGTCCATAGGGCATACTGCGAACCATGTCAAGAACATGTTGCTGTGCTCTAGCATGTTGAGTCAGCTCTTCTACAAGAGGGCCTTGAGCTGCACCATTCTGGGCAGTATTTGCGGAGAAGGGAGTGACGGTGGAACCAGTGAGACCTCCGAAACCGAGAGATGTATTTAACCCACCTGTAGTATTCGTGTTGCCAAAGAGGTTCGTACCAAGTCCAGTCCCGGTGTTTTGAGTTGTACCAAACAGTGAGGGAGTAGAAGTGGAAGATTGATTAAAGCCGAAAGCATTAGTAGCAGGTTTATTAAACAGTCCTCCCGTAGCACCAGCATTTGTAGAACCGAAAATACTACCGGTAGCAGGTTGAGTGGTTTGAGCGGCAGAACCAAGTCCGAAACCGGTTGAGTTGCCAAAGAGATTAGTTGCTGGAGCGACGGTGTTGTTTGCTGTGCCAAAACCAAAGGCAGGAGTTGTAGAACTAGCTGGGGTTCCAAAAGATGGTTTCTTTGCCCCAAACAGACCTGTCTGCAGGGTGTTTGAAGTGGAAGTTCCAAGTCCGAAACCCGTAGTGTTGTTTGCTATAATGAGAACATTGGAAGTCAACTTCAAATACAAAATTTGTATTATTATCATTAAATAAATTAACAAATATTTAATTTGAAGCACTAGTGAATTTTAAACATACTATTCCTTTTTCTTTAATAGTTATTACTACTATAAAATCATCCTAAATTTGACTACACACAATGCTGTAATCCCTATATTTACCGGGATCTTCCAAAGATATTCCCAAAGCGATTAAACAGAAAATTTAATTTTATGAAACGATTTTGGATACCAAATAACAACCCATCCGAATAAGCACCCCGGTACTATCCTCAATTTTTCCCCTCCAAAGTATAGAAATCATCTGACAACTTGGAGACAACTCACACTCAGTATACAGTTAAATATTTATATTTTCAGTAAACACTAATTAACTTATGATGTCTAAGGATAGATTCAAGCCTCATTACCAATCAAGAATTTTAGAAATACTGAACTAACCTGGAGTAGAAAATAAGCTCGTAGTATTTGTCTTGGCCCCAAAACTGAATGCAGATGCTGTAGTAGTACCAAAGAGCGAAGTTCCAGCGGGTTTCACACCACCGAAGATATTACTAGTCTGAGAGGTCTATTTTATTTAAAAAAACTAGAATTTAACAACAAATATAATTAGTATAAATATCACCATTGTTTTTAATTGTGCGCTGTACCAAAACTCACGTTAAATGACCTCTGAAACAAAAAAATAAATTTCAAGAACAAAATACATAGCAAATGAGAACAGCACATTTTTAATTGCATAAATGAGAAATAGACATTAACAAGTAGCATTCACGACCAGTGCCGAGGAAAAGCATATCGAAGTGATGAAAGAGAAAACAAATTCTGCAAAACTTGGTTTAAATAAGCTCATATAAACTTATAAATTCCAAGTCAACCAACTACTAACTCAACGATTTGACTAATTTTAAAAAGTAAATAGGGGTAGCCTTTAATATCTCAGAATTTAGCAGTAGCTCGAACTTGGTTATGGAAAATGACTGCAGGAAGACATAAAATGCTGATATCCAGAGATTGACTAATCTCTAATCAAAATAAACTTCTCCAACATACAGAAAACAGATAGCATAAGCTAAATTTTCAAGAAGAGTCGTACATCACTTTCTTTAAAAAATGTAAAATTCAAAGATGTTCGTCTTAATTACAGATGCACTTGTTCATTTTTTAGTTCAAAAGCGAGAATAACACCATATATTTTTCAATCAGGACATAAAAGAAATGGCATTTTTCTTGACTAGTTATGAGAAAGATATGGGACTAATCAACAAAGAAGTTGAAGATAAACGAAAGAAATCTAAAAAAATTTCAATTGTCCATCAGAAAAAATGGTATTTTGTAGAAAAACATCAACCTTGACAGCCTAAATGGAAAGGTAATAAATTGGTCAATCGGTGACAAATCCCATCCTGAGTACTCGTTTATGCTCCTCTGAGCAAAGAAATCAATAAAAATTTAAGGTCACTCAAATGGATTTATACTATAACCAAAAGGAAAACGTGATTCCAGCGTGTTTTATACATCCCAAAAGGTAAATCAACTGTGTCGTAACAAATCCAAGTACGAAATTTAATAGAAACTAGGTAGCAATAACTAATACGCCAACAAACAACTGATGTTGGAAAATATAAAAGTTTACAAAAAAAACAGAGAAAAGAATAAGAGCGAATAACTTACAGCTGGGGCTCCGAATGGAGACGCTTGAACGGTCGGTTGAGTAGAACCAAATAAACTCGGAGTCGTAGTTGTTGTCGCGCCAAAGATACTCGAACCAGCGGGTTTCCCAAAAGAGAAACCACTTGACTGAGTTGACGAGGGTTGAGCTCCGAATACACCGAAAGACGACGCAGTCGTATTAGCAGCTCCAAAAGTGCTACCACTACCAAATATTGATCCCTGTTGTTGAGTGTTCTGCCCAAAACCAAATCCCGTCGATTGTTGTTGATTGGTTGTTAAGTTAAGTCCAGTGGTACTAGTTGTTGAGGGACCAAATAGGGGTTTAGAACCGAATATACTACTTTGGCCAAATGAGCCCATGGGCTGAGATGAACCAAAAATAGAATTTGTATTTGCACTTCCAAAAAGAGATGACTGAGTTGTCTGAGCAGCAGGGGTAGAACCAAATAAAGAAGATGCTGTCGTCTGAGCAGTGCCAAACCCAAATGCGGAAGTAGATGTTGAGCCAAATATACTCTTGGTAGCAGCAGCCCCACTTTTGCGATTTTGAAGGTAATCCTCAACACGAAGTTCCTATACACACAGTAAGATTAAGCGAATTTCAACTTACCTCCATGCTCTTGTCTGAATATTCCTTCATTGCAGAAATGCACATGTGCTTAGCATTTACTTGAACTTTTTGACCATTTTTCTGGACTAAATCATTTACAAGTGGGGGATTAAATTTAACCGTTGTTCCAGAAATCGTAGCACTTGCTCCTCCGAAAACGGAACTTCCAAAGACACTAGTTTGTTGAGTAGAGGAGGCAGGTTGACCAAATAGACCTGTGGATGGCTGGCTTGTGGTGGCTGATGCCCCGAATTGGGTCGATCCAAACCCAAATCCAGTAGATGGTGAACCACCAAAAACGGCTATAAAGAAAAGCTAAAAAAGTGGAAACCAACTTACACTTCGGCTGACCAAACATTTTTAATGAATAGCCTCAGGAATCAGACGAAACTTTAAAATTTCGCCAAATTTGAAATTCCGCCGTTAGCTAAAAATACTAAAATTAAATTTAAGGTAAAAACGTAATTGAAATTAAATTTGACAAAATAAATTGCATTTATTTTGGCCGTATTTTTTCTTTGAACGGTTGCCATTGATTTATCTGAAAAAATTTCTTCCAACAACAAGATACGATTGTTCAAAGCTAAACATTTTACGTAGTGGCTTGAGTGATAGACTTATCTTTATGTGGTGCACCCTGGGCAACGTTTGTACATACGGCAAAAGAGTTGGCCTCTGGCTTTGAACTTCCATTATCACACTCTGTTATATTCGACCACTTTCATAGTACTCACCTTACCTTTTTCCATACCATTGTGTCTGTATCTTTTATATCAGTGAAATACTCTTCTATTCCTCCTTGCTACTTTTTTGTGACTGTGATGTTCATTCTCTCTGTGAGGCTTGAATTCAACTAAAGAAGTAAAGAAGTAAACATTTATTTAATGATGTGTATTCTTTAGTAGCATTACCATAACTGGGCAATTATGACGTTATTACATAGGTAATTCGATACTTTTAAAAAAATAATTGTTAAGGAATAAAGGTTAAGCAACTGCGACAATCCATACTTATATGTAACAGTTAAAAAATTTAATAATTATTATTAGTTTCATCAAGATCATTTTGCAAGCTAAAACTCATATAATTTCTCTTTTGGTTAAATAAGAGCAGCTTTATTATCAATGATCTGATTTTGAGCTTTAGTTGACACACAAATATCAGGAAATAGTATTAATTACCAATCATCACTGAAATACTAAGTCATTTTGATAATGAAATATAAAACAATTTTCAAAGGAATTGCTTAAAAGGACATTGCCTTTACAGTTTTTTTACCATTTTTGGGTTTAGCAAAGTGATTTGAAATTGCGGCTTCCAGTATCGAAATTAAAATTTAAAGAAATCGTAATCACTGAGATTTGTCTATTTTAAGGCATTGTAAATTGAAAACGCTGAGGGGCTTGTACTACGCCATAAACAAAGTTTTGGCCATTTTAATGAAGTTGCCAGCCAGAAGATTCTATTTATTTGTTATTGATAAGTAAATCTCCTCTTATTTTACATATCCACCTTCCATTTAATAATACATAATTTTCTATTAATCGAATTTTTTTACTTAATTGCTTAATTAACGAAATCGTTTACTTGTGTATTGGATCATTTTTCATTCTTTATTTCGCAGTAAAATCATAGCAAGCTCGTGGACAGGGAATGCCGTCATTGAAACTACTTACATTACTTGAATTAATTTTTCCAATACACTCCATTAAACTTCCTAATTAAACTTTTCTGGAAAATAAATGAATAGCAAAAGAAATATAATAGTAACAAATAAATTTCATTGAAAGTTCTGTGAATTTGTTTGACCCATTCAATTACCAGGTCGAGTCAAAGTTTATTGCAAACACGAAACATACTTGGTGGGTATTCATTAGTGTTTCTACTACTTTAATGGAAATGCATTTAATTTGCCATAATGAACTTCCAACGTTTTTGACGGAAGTGGTGTAGTTAAAAGTCTAATTTATATTACATATTACAAAGCCTACAGTAAATGCTTATCACTATATTTGCATATATCTATACATTGGGTGTAATATTGTGGATCTAATCATTAATTGTACAATGTAGTTGAGCAAACTTATTTTGACCTCAATGACCAATGTTCATATGCCTGTTCGTGAATGGTTGTCGGAAAATGGAATAAAAGCGAAGAATTTGGAATTATTTGCTTATCTTGTGGATTGCAAATTTCCTCATGTATCTTCCAATAAATGTGATTATAAAGTTGTAATCAATTGCATTATTATTATAAGAATGGCCTTTTTCAGTTAATTAATACTGTATCCGATGCCCTGTATTGCAAATATTTTGCCCATATGCCCTGGATTGACGGAGAAATCGTTCATATACAGATATCAAAAATGAAATATGACAATTACATTTTGAAAATGGAGCATGCATTATCAAAAATTCAAAATAAATTAAGTAATCTACTAGGTTCTTCGTTGGGGATCTTTGGTTCAATTAAGAAGAGCAATGTGAGATCGAATACTATTTTTGATCAATTCTTCTTCAGATCTATTTACTTCTTGATATCAGCACCTCTATTCGACCGCATTTCACTAATCTAAAAGAGGTTATAAATAGCTTTCTCGACGAGCAAATATTCCATTGCAAATTATTTAACATATTAGCTTTCAGTACCAATATTCTACCTTTTCGACGAGATCTTACGCTAGTAACTCCAGAGACACTTGGTGTAGGTCCTCATTTTTAAATTTTAAATTAGGTTTTCAATTTTTAAATGCTGTGATAGTATACTTACGTTAATGAAAAATTCGCACAGTGCATGGTTGTTATGGTTGAATCATTGTAATATGAAACAATTGCGAATAAATCAAAGTACTTTGTCATACACAAGAGAATCTTAGTTCAAAAGTTGTTGATTTGGTAGTAAACCTCGCAGATCAAAAAGTTATGTAATGATTAATTAACGTTATTCTGAACTGCGTGAAACCACGTACAGCTACTGCAGGATTCTAATTAAAATCAATCAAAGTGACCAAACTTTGAAAGCTATATTGAAATTAAGTCAATTTTCATTATATTTAGTCGGCAAAAGATTGGCTGAACGCTCTAACTTGCGGTGGTTCAACAAATACCAGACTAGCATTGGAATATGCTCTCTCGGATATCTTGACGGAGGAAGTTTATCTTGTCACAGATGGTCGGCCTGATCAACCAACTGATGTTCTTTTGGCCCAATTTGGTCCATCCAAAATACCTATTCACACAGTCAGTTTTCATTGCTACGATACAAAAGCCAATGAATTTTTAGCGGGGTTGTCCAAAGCAACTTGTGGTCGTTTCAACTGCTTCGATAGGGAAGGTACTACTATTCCCGTTTATGAGGTAAACAGACGCCACTAGCCTTTTTTTAGAATAACATTTCATTTTGGCATGTATGGTATCCCTTGTATTATAAATTAATTCGAATTATATTTTAATGCTGATAAAATAAGTTAACTTTTTTTAAGAACCAAAGTGCCGGTCAATAACTTCAAGTGGTTTTCAATAAGAAATAATATTTTGATTAAATAAGCATTCATATTTAAGAGATTGGAGGTAATAAGTGTGATAATGCTGCAACGTCAAATTCAACCGGGAAAAACCTATCCACCTACTTTGAATAGCAAATCGAACACATGATGCAATAAATATCTAAAAGGTCGAAGCATGCTGCTTTAATTGAGAGCACTTTAAACTATTTTTACAACTTGTTCCAGGAGCGAAGGCTGCATAAATAAACCTTGACTAGACCTCGGAAATCTCTCCAGAAAAATTAGCTAAGCTACTTCAACAATTTCAAGGGAAGGAAGGGTATGAAGTGAGAAAAGTTTATTTCGATTGTACAACAACGTCACAAAGCGCAGTCAACCCAAACACACTTAATGGGAAACTAGCATTGCAAAATCTCTTTTTTAGGCTGAGAGAACTTTGCACCCACGATCACGCTTGCTCCCTACAGTATCAGCAGAACGCCGCATTATCGAGATTGATTGAGTGTTCATGCGTTGGTTTTATTCAGTTTTAGTAGCGCTGTGAATTCCACTTCCCCATTTACCCATTTTAACTCAAAAATGGTGATTATATTCTTTCCTTTAGGTAAACAAGAATCATATAAGATATGTTTGCATTGAAAAATTATGCAAAGTTTTAATATCAACATCTCTTTATGAAGGTCATTATACAATATAGCCCTACTGGTGAGTAAATGGAACTTTTAACCGATACACACCTGCAGATAGGATTTGATAACAATGGGCTAGCAGGCGTATTCGTTAAATAATAAGCACATTTTCTCTTTATTAAAGAGTGAAGACATTCGACTCTTACGGGAGGAACTGCTGATCGGTAAAGCTAGTTTAGAGATGATCCGAGAACTTTATCATCAATGCTACTCTAAGCAAAAAGGAAGGACGGATATTGTAAAACCAACATCAGCTAAAGACAATATTACAAAAGTTGAAGACGTTTTGATCTCTCCTCTTAAGATGCGCAAGAAAAAGATAGGAATAAACCACCCAAAGAAGGAAGCAATATCTCTCGTGAATAAAGATGAAAAAGGCTTGACAAATAAGAAACCAGTCGAAGATCTTATAGCTGTAGATAAATTTAATGGTATCGTTACAAAATAAGCTTTTAAAAGTGTTTTTGCCACTAAAATAAGTCATATTTATAATTAGCAATATTATTTACCATTTCTCTTTAAATAGTTTAGAATTTATTTTTTAAAATATCTACTAACTTTGTGCATTTCTCAGACCAGAAGAAACTTAAGTCAGGAGTGTCGAAGGCGGAGAAGTAATTTCAATATAACAATAGATTTACTTTTTGTTCAATAGTAGCAAAGGTCCAGTTAAATCAATCGAAATTTGGCTAAGCAAATATGGATTGAGGACCAAGAAACTGAATCCATATCACTTGGTTAAACCGTTCATTCTTCGGCTTCCAGCAATATATCGAAGGAATTTGCACGAAGAAACTTTCGCTCAGCAACTTTTCGCAAAGATGCATTCAGTCATTTCAGCATCTTTTGATGCAGAATTATTCATTAACCATTGCTCTAAACTAAGGGATTCAATAAGCACAATCGAGAGGTGAGCGATTCAAAGATGGCGTCTATTTAAAACATATGAACAATTAAGAGTTTATTGCTGATGTCTTAATTCGTCCACAAACTAAATACGTCTCTCTAGCTTTCTGTGCTCACGAATTTCCCTAGCACTGGGTTAACTGGAATATACTTTACTATTATTTAACTTCTGTAATGCATTTGGAACTGGTCACTGTAAAGTACAAATATTCTGAAGAACCAGGTAGATCGTGTTTAACTATATCACCCCCTGAATATATTGTGCCAAATTGGATAGAGGAAAAGTAAATGTGCATGTCAGAGAGTATGGCGGCTCAACCGTTTGCTGTCCAGAAGCAATTGTCTGAACAAATCCATCATTTACTGATATATCTGTGTAAGGAGCACTAAAACTTTCGAAGCTGCCTTCATCTTTAGGCAAATACATATTAAATCAATCATATATAAAAGGTAGGTTCCAGATGCTACCAAAATATAAAGATCATATATTCTAAAGTGTAAAAGTTTTTTTCATTTCCTTTTTTTAAAAATTTGGTTATTAGAGTGAGTCCCGAGGGATTTAAACGTCTTAATCAAAGATTCACCATATAATAATAGAGTCGGATCTCATAGATGCATTGCTTGATTCGAGCTTTCCTGATAGCCTTCTTCTAGAATGTCTTTCTTTACCAAACGCGAGTTCCTAGAAGATTTTTCCCAGTGGAGATTTAAACATCCAATAAGTCATTATATGTCAATAATTGAATCATATGGTGAGCAAAATTAAGGTCTATTTCCTCTATCAAAGTGCATGTATTAGCCTACCCTTAGATGTCCTAGTGCAATTCGTGCATAATATATTGATCTGTCTAATTCAATATAGATATTTATTTTGCCTGGTTGAAAGTTCTTTCACTTTATTACCATTAATATTCTTCAGGTTATCATCTTTTATTCCAGAAAAGTAAATGCAGTCGTGATGGTTGATACGACATTTACCACTACTCATTGCTGGTTCAAGGACCGTAAAATTATTATAAATTTAGCAAAAAGGGCTTCCAAACTTAAGGAAATCAAACTGCTAGAAGAAGAATTAAAGAAGGTAGGCCCAAACATCATTCTTTGTTTAAAGTAACTGACTCATAATGCATTCTGTTAATTTTAAGGGAATGTCATTTTATGATTGTGCAGTCAAAATTTGGAAAAGCGTGGAAAGATCGTTCGAATACCACTCAATCGAAAGGCGCTATTGTAACCACTCAGGTTCATAGCAAAATATTATTTCATTGCCTATTAACAAAATAAATCATGCTGGACAACATTATTCTCATTTTTATTTTAGAAAAGGAAAGCTATTGGATCCTCAACATTTTTGCTAACGATGTCGATAGCATTAAGAAGGAAATTAAATGAGTAGAAGGGAATGCGCTTTTTGTATCTATCTAGAAAGCAAGTCCCTCCAAGTAAATCGTGTTGTATTTGGTGTCTCCCTCCTTATGAAGGTGCTTTATTCTGTTAAAGCAGCTTTTAAGGTGATATAGTGTTGCATGTTATTTTTCGAGCATTTTTGCAAACCCTTTGCAGGCATAATGAGGGTATTGTAGGTAAGAATTAGATTTGACTAAACCTCAGCAGCCTCTGCGGCAAGATTCTCTATTATGAAACTGCTCCCAAAATTGGCTAAGCGACCTTAACGATGCCAAGGAAACAGTGTATGGTGTTAATAACGTTTATTTTAGTTGTGGGCTGTAGCGGATTGCTACGCTAGCAAAGCCTGACTGACTCAGAAATCTCTGTGGCAGATTCTCCAACAACTAGCTAGACTCCCAGAACAAACCAAGCTATAGCCCAGTTATAAAGAAAACAGATATACAGCACGGAACACGTTTATTCAATAAGTATCCTGTGAGCAAAGTGTACACACATGGAGGTTAATAATGATCAGGATGGCGGATTAGGTTAAACCAACAGAGGCTAATGATTGGCCACTGTTTGTACGGTTGCTGCACACAGAGTTGTACGGCCGCACCTCCGAATCTTGGCGTGCAGGCGTGCGATGACGCACTAAGCGACACCGTGTCCCACAGGGCCACTGCGCATAGGTTGTGTATTAAAATACAATTATGGGCCCGCCAATAGTGGAGAGACTATTGATTGCTGCTACACTTAAGCGAATACTTACTCTTTACCCTAATCAGTAGAACTTCCCACATCCCAGACTGCTCGAGATCATGAAATTCCGTGGTTCATAAATGTTAGCCTTGAGCACACTTCACACCACCACTTCCATTTCTATTGTCATGATTTCTCAGTGAACAAGTTAACAAATTGTAATAACAACCGGTAAATTTTCAATAGAGTTTCATGCAGCGGTATTTACAAGGTAATCATTATAGAAGAATACGAATATAATTTAGAAATATTTATTTATAAAATAAATAATGACAAGCGGAGAAATGAGCTCATATGTATAAGAACTATTAGTGACATTCAGTCAAACTAACGGATGCGATATCACGATCGGGAGATGATAAATAGGTTAGCTTTTGATCAATATCTACATAATGCCGCAATAGCCCTTAAGTTTCTGGAGGATGAATAATTAAAGGTATGGGTTTTTTGAACTTGGGAGCTCCATTTGTCGCCGCACTTGAAGTATTTCGCCTTAAGTTGCTTCCGGGAGCACTCTGCGATTCCTCATCATCGGGAGGAGGTTTAAGCGAGGCGCGGAATCCTTGACCAAGTAACATCGGACCCCGCTCACTATCGCCTCCGAATTTGACCATTCCACTTTGACTTCGAGTTATGGGTGAGGTATTCCTTTGATGTGCAGCAGCGGCCGCAGCAGCTTGTTGAGCAAGTTGGAGACGACGTTGCCGACGCTTCTCTTGCCGCTGAGCACCGTTTAATGCTTTTGCTTCTGCTGCAGCTCGAGCAGCCTCTTCTGATTGGCGCCGAGCATTCTCAATCTCCTCCTGTCGCTGTTTAGCTTGGCGTGAGGATCGACTTGCGTAGACTGAATTAAATGTATAAGTGGTAAAATAAGCTACAACATTTGGTACTGATCAGTAATAACAATCATTCCATCGACTATTATTTCGCAATACCGAAAATTATGTTCTAAGCTCAGAGTAGAGAATAAATTCGATTTTAGCGGTTACTGTTACTATGTTCTTATAATGGAGCTCTCTTGACTGCGGTACAGTGTTTCGATGTTATTCAACTGATGTAGATAAAGGGGAAAGAAAGAGCATTCGCAACCCATCTCAAGGAAATAGCCTATTTATAAACAATTGAAATGAAAGAAATTGAGCGATGTATCGCTTAGATGACAATAAGAAGCAAAAGACTTCACCCCTCGAATGCAGATCATTCTGAATTCTATCGAGGCTTAGAACATTAATCTTTGTTTCTATTCGTACTTTACTTCATATAGGCCATATGAAGTTCAATCAATTCTCCATATGGTCTTAGATTTTCCTATGTTTTTACACGTTAAATTCCCTCTCGCCCCAGCGTTTTGAGAGTGAGGAGGTCCAAAAGCAGGAAGGAAAATGGAAACTACAATAAACTACCAATTACTATCTCTACCTTACAAAACTTGCAAAAAAGACTCCTTTATAACAGGAAAGAAGGAACTTGCTTTTAGGTGTTCCGCTGGGATCACTATGCGCTGCCAGATGAGATTGATGAAGACCAACAGTAGCTCCTCCAGGTACTTCCAATTTATTCGCTGCAGCTGCAGCAGCTGCCGCATTTGCATTTTTGACCACCGCTTCAGCCAGTGCAATTGCATGCGCTCTATCGGGGATAATTTGTGCCAGCGCCTGCTTCTGATGTTTTTTACCAGCACCGAGTTTGAGAATACCACCTTCACGTTTACCTTCTCTTCCTGATCGGGCATTCTTTTGCTTCGAAGACATCTCGCCAATTTCTCCATCCGTTCTGTCTTTCTTCTTGGCATCACCAGATTCACCAGCAGTCTCACCAGCGGTTGCATCTCCTTCGGCTTTCTTTTCTTTGTCTTCTGCATCGCCTGCACCTTCTTCGCCTTCTTTCTTTGTGTTTTCACCCTCTTCTCCCCCTTCACCGGAGCCCTCACCTTCTTCTCCCAAGGCACTGGAGTGAATTGCGTGGCGGTCGCCAGCGAGACAAGTTAATTCTTGCAATTGAAAACCAGCTGAACCAGCGGCCTAATTTAATGGGCATATTTAATACGGATGCAAACAGTGTGTCAAAATGATTGAAAAGACCGGCATGGTCACAAGTTAACCTAAACAAAAGCCGAATCTACTTGTATGTATGAATCCTTTGTGATTCGAAATATAAAAAACAGTCCTAAGATATATTGTTTGTCGCACAATGAAATTTGAACCAACATTATTAATAATTTAAACGACTGCATCCGGATGGGCAAAAGAAGGCACTTATAGGAGATCAAAATGCAGAATCGATTTCACCAACATTCATTGATTTAAAGAAATTACAGGCTTAAATAATTATGCAAACACACTTTAAGTTGGATGAGTTCGACCTATTTCTCCTTCGTTCATATAAACTGAAACAAGAAATTACAGTGGAGCTTTCAAAAGTAACGAGGATAGACTTACAGCGAAAGCAATGTTTAGACCCGGCCTACCGGGGATCATTGGTGGAAGGGCTTTGTTTTCATTAATCTTTGGTGCAGTATGTGATGGTGGAGGTGAGAGCTGCTTATCCCCGGTTCCACTAAAGTGGATTGCCCTGAGATAAGATTCCAAATAGTTAGCCAGCGCCTCCGTAGCTCCTTCCAAATTATTCTGCTCCAAAACCACGTCAAAACTCTCCTAGATATAGTCAAGGCAAAGGCAAAAGTCGCGTTACAAATCAGCCGAGTTATTACTTAAGGATAATGGTTGATCATATTAATTTGGGTAAAAATTTCACCTCAGCGCACTGAAGTAATTTTTCAGCTGCCGCAACCTGATGATTGAGTTGCTTCTTTTGTGATTTGCCGCGATTTTTTATTAGTCGTTGAAGGACACGAATACTGGAGATTTTAATGTATACCATGATTGGAGCTAATGATGATTTAGCTATCTGGTGTGGATGATTGATTGTCTCATTATCCAAAACCAACAGCTGCATCGAGGTCGCGAGATCAAATATTCTCTCTACTTCACGTTGAACTTCAACTATAAAAGAGAGGGAGAGAAGAAACCTCCAAACATATATTTGGGAAAGCGTTTCCTACTGGCTAATATTAAGTAGATCATTCTTACGAGCTGTGATCATTTGACGACCCCGGGTTCTATCGGTGAGGGCCTTCTTGTCCATATTCAACAGAACATTCAATCTCTTCCACCCTGAGACATCAGTTTGTGCCCGGGTTACGATGAGACTGCAGAGAGTACAGTAAATACCTCAATTATGTGATTGGAAGGAGTGCGTTAATAGCGTATTGGAAGAGGAAACTCACCGGCCTTCAAAATACCGCTTGAGAGAATCGAAAAGGGCCTTTTGCATCATATCTGTCACTTCATAGCCCTTAAGTGCTGGCCCTACGACAACAACTGGACGTACATTTGGAACTAACTCGTACGGTGGACCGGTATAACCCTAAAATATAATATCTACGTGTAAGCGTTCGATTAAAATGAATAGATATTACAAGGTGAATAATAAATTGAACCTTGAAAAATAGCCCTTCTCATTAATAAACGGGTTGTCTAGAGTACTTTAAAGTAATTATAATTACCTCTCCTTCGACTTCTACACTATTAACCAAGAAGGCCTCCTCCCCCTCCAGTTAGTAAGAATGAGGGGGGGGGGAGAGAGGAACACTAAAGGAATGATATTGTCACTTTACTAACGGAAAATAATTAGGACAACTTGAGGCCGACTTAGACATCACTCACATACAGATGACTGTAGAAAGACACATCAAGTAATTTTTTGAAGCATTGAAACTTGATCATATTAAAAAGATCATCAATACTGCTCGTTTAAAGACAATCAGTCTCTCTAATAATTTATTGATAACAGATAACTCATTGTAATCAAAATTGGCTAAGAGTAGTGAAATGTCGTCAACTTTACCACGAAATTCTGCTGCTAGCAAATTCGAAATAATCGTCGAAAGAGAAATCACAAGTACTATGATAGTTATGAGCTACAATTTTGAATTAATATTGTGTAAGCAAACGCCTTCTGAATGATAATAAGACAGATCGGAACCTTTCTAAAGAATGGCTTCTTCTTTGGTGTAGCTGGAAGAGTAGAAGCCAGAGTCGGAACTGCTTGAACCGCTGTTTTCTCCGGTTCCATGTCAGGTAACGTGACACCAAGATCTACAAGTGAAGAAAAATGACTAGTAGTGGGTGCTCTAAGAAAACGGGGGAGGGAGTGAGATTACTTATATCATTCATAAAAGTGAATTATGATTACTTGGGATAGCAGGTTCGTTTGTTTTAGAAATGCCATTTCCAAAGAAAACGTGCTTTCTAGAAAATGAAAGGAATTTGGATAATGGAAAAGTTAATTAAATGGTAAATTTAGGCACAAAAAATTGTTTAAACATACTCGTTTGCGGAAGGTGCGCTTTCATTGACTAAGGATGCTGGCCAAGCTAAAATAAAATACACGTATCTTGTCAGAGTACCAAAAATTAACAGGCTTTATTTCCCTGTTATCGACTTCAAAGAAATTAATATTTAGAGACATAAAGAGCCTTAAAATGCTTGCTGTTTACGACGAGTACAATTTCATACAAATTGGAAGTGCTTAATGCAAATAAGGGAGTAGTATTCATTAATTTTTAATAAAAAGGGAATAAATTGAATCTCTAGTTAATCTACAGACCAAAAAGCTTGTCGAATCCATTGGAACCGACTAAGTAGTAGGTTTCTCTCTGTTAATAGGATTTCAGTAGTTTGACTATCCTATTTCATTCATTGATTAATTTCTGTCAAGGCTTCTAAAAATTGAGAGACAATAGCAAATACCAACAGCTAAGACATTTTGTAACACCAAACCTATATTAGAATGAGACAACCAAATTCACTAACCATTTAGGTAGAATAGACCATCCTTCGGCTTCATCCAACTGGTTAACCAGTAACCTTCAACAACACCTACCCCTGTTATTTGATACGTAAATATGTATGTAATCATATCCATTCAGACACTAATTGGTTTCCATTTATAAACTTTGGTCATCTCTCTCATTATTTGCGAAAAGGCTAACCAAATTGTCTCTTGCTCTCCTCACCATAGGTATTTTTATTCAGATGGTCAGATATTCAGATATATATATATATATATATATATATATATATATATGAGTTAACTTGTCAGTTTCCCAAAACGTGTTATGTGAACGCCTTTACCCAAGAACGACTGTCAATTCATTTTAAATTACAACCGATAGCGAAATTTGCCCTATAGTATGATCATCATTGGCATATTTCGTAGATTGAGTCGATTACTGCAAAAAGAATAGCACTTCACAGATAAATGAAATTTTAAGCATTCAGGCCGTTGGAAAGGAAGTAATATTGAATATGGGGTGGCTTTAGATTGTATTGGTTGTTCTTGTTAATTTGGTCTTTTTATCAACCCACTTGCTCTCTACTGGTACTCGTTTCCTACCCTTAAATTCCAGTTCCCAATTTCCCCTTTTGCTCTACTTCTTTTTCCTCTCGTTGATTGACGACTTATCAACGCAGCAACTGGCTTTTAAAATTTTTGGTTGGATCTTGTTTGCCTTTAGGAAGTGATTTAACTAAAGGGATTTGAGCATTTTCGGTAAATTCAGATATTATTTCGGCAACAAATTAATCCTTGAGCACCTACAAGCCTTCGTAACAAAGATTATATTCAGAGTGTGTAGCTCACACTGCAGTTTCTGCGACACCAAAATCCTCATGTATCAAAAATGAGAAGTGAAGTGGTGGAACAGTGTTTGTATCAGCATGTGAATTCATTTATTTAAATAATGAGATTTGTTAAGGAACCTTCTGTCTTTCGTTTGTTTGGCAGCTGACTTGAAAATTTTAAAAGTGATCTAATGGAGTCTTTTCGAAAGGAATTCAACAATTGCTTTCATCATGTGACTTAGTAGTCGAATCTACTTTGTAAAGTCACTCACTAGGAAAATAGTGACATTGACTTTTATCGGAAATTAAAAGGTCGTTTTTTGCAAAATTTCTCAAACTGCGAACTAAACTACATCAATTTTGCAATAATTTAATATAAATAGTAATTTAAAATTTATAACTTAAAAAATTGACCGCTATTAATTGCAAACAGAATTTAATTAATGAAGTAAAATAAAAAATATCCCTTCTGTGCTTCCTTTTGCATTTATTTAAACACAATTTTATATGGCTTCATTGTCTTTCAGGTCTGTAAAATACCAGGATTAGTAAAAAAATTGTCAAATATCCTTAATAGATTAATTGAAAATTACTAATAAAATAAATATTCCCACCTGCTCCTTTAAAAGTTGAAGCAACGGCTAAAGTCCACTGACATCGTCGAAAGCCTGCAAAATGAAGTCAGTTTCGTGAAGAATTACCTTCCCGGCCATTTCATGCAACACACTGACTGAAAAGGCGTTTGGAAATCAAACCTAAGACTTTCAAGCTGTCTGATTACGACAAAGTGACAAACATGCAGAAACTACTCCGTAACCGAAAGAACTAGGTAGGACATTGAAGAACATTGATCGAATGTTATCATGCAATTTCCGATCGTTCAAGAAGGAGAACAAGTATCAGGCATGATTTAAAAAACCCTGTGACAGTTCAGCGTTTGGAAAATTACTTTAAAAATGTCTGTTCGTTTTTGTTATGCCTCAGTGCTCACTTATGTTTTGCCAATGGAACAATTGGAGCAATAGCATACTCAAAAAATCAAATTTTTTGATAAGTTCAAGTGAATGAAATTTAGAAATGAAATTTATTTATAGAAAATAAAACGATTCTAAAACCCGATTTTCTAGAACGTTGATTTTATAATTTACCAGATATGTCCACAGCACCTAGTGATTTTTAAAAGATATGCTTTCTTAAAGATTTCAATTGATTGTGATAAGAAAGGAAAAATAAGTAATGGGTCTATATTTCGAGTTTATATTAAATATATGAAGGCATTAATTCTGCACACTGACCTACATATCATTCAAATTATGTTTTCTTCATGCTATGCACACAAGTAATTCCATTTGCACCTGTCCCTATTATGTAATAGCCATGGGTCATAAGAATTTACACTATATTAAAGAATGCCTGAATTAAGATTAATTTTGAAACTCACAGACGAAGTAAACAGTTAACTCAAAAGATTGGCTGGAAAAGATTTTAGGCACCATTCTTGGCGAATTTATATTTCTACATGGGGTGTGCGATAGACCTACCTCCACGTGGTGCACCCTGGTCAACGTATACTCATACGGCAAAAAGGTCTATTAACCGGCAGTTGACTTCTGGCTTCTGACTACTATGACCTGACTCCATATCATATTCGATCATTTCCACAGTACTCACCCCACCTTTTTTCCACCTTTGTGCCTGTCTCTTACATATTTGGAGCACTCTCGACTTTTTTCACCTTTGTATGAAGTCAACCAAAGGGCTAATGATAACTATCAAAACGCCCGCCATTTGATATAAGTCATATTTCTATATTGCTCATTACAACCCTTGAAACAGATGGAAAAGCTTATTATTAAAATTAAACATAGTTTGAGGGACTAGATAACCAAACATGAGAGCTAGCAAATTCTTGCATTGACATTTCAGTAGTTTGATGATCGATGCATGCTGTTGCATTTTATTACAAAAACTGACTCAAAGCGTGTCAACTTTTGACTCCTGAAACGGTCAATGATAGGTATTTAGCATATTATGCTTACCCCCTCCTTTGCCAGAGGAGTGCGTGGCAGATCCGGCAGTCCCGGAAATTGAGCCTGATTTCCCACCAGCTGTGGTATTTCCAGTAGAAGCAGCCACATTCAAAGCCTCGGAGAGAAGAAGTTGGGACAGATTGGTCTGCATGGAATGCCTCAATGTCTCCAACTTAGTCGGACTTGGAATAAATCCAATTGGGGCATCCTCTCTCACTAATCGACCTATCCACCAATTCTGGTCGAAGCGACGTTTCACCTGAATGAACTCCTTTGCTGAAAACGAGATCACTCTTGTTGGTATCGGGGCATCGATTCCGTTCAAAAGACCGTCAAAATCCACATATGTTCGTACGCAAAATGCAACTGGGGCATTCTAAAGAAAGAAAAGAAAGCCTTAGCGAAATATTACCTTAATGCAAAGTAGATATTTTTCCTTGAAGTAATCAACGGAGAATAGAAATAAAATCTTTTTCTTGAAGACCGAAGAGGGGGGGGGAGACGTTGGTAGAAATAAATGCGAACACGACGTGAATTTAGTCTGTCGTCTTTACAAGAAATTGCACAAAGATTTCTGTTTGTTTGTGGATTAGTTAGGCTTGAGTTGGAGGACAAATGCAAAGCCAACAGGTGGGTAATGCACAAGCTTATGTGACCAATAGTAGGGCATATATCTCACTTTCACACATTCGAGATACCAGGTCATTGTCAGGGAAGAATTTCATCTCAGTGATTAGGTTATAGAGAAATGACTAAGTTAAGACCAATAAGCAGGTGCTAGATAGTAAGAAAAATCAATAAAGACGTAAAGTTTGAATAATGGGCATGCACAGATCAACGAACTGAGGAAAGGCAAAAAGTAACTTTGAACCCATAAACAGTTATAGAATTGAACACCAAGGTCTCAGCCAATTTTACATTTGATCAAAAGTATTATTAATACTATTGTCAAAAATGCGTATATTCACACGAAATGCCAAAGTAGAGGTCTTGCACTTAGAGGTTGAGGATATTCTGTTTCACCTCAATGTATCAAAAGAGAGTGAGTCTGAAGCAGAATGCCACATAATTGAATTTTCAAAATAAAAAGCGTTAAGTTAATACATTTTTTGTTTAGTAAAGTCCTTTTAGCCGATAAGTGCCCATGTAGATTCGGAAGTGAATTGAAATGTACCTTCCATTCATTTTTTGATTCAACCCCACTATATTAGACCGTCTACAAAAGAAACTCACCAACTAAAATCTTCTCTGAGGAACTTGAAATAAAGCAAAATTGATTCTGTTATGAAAGACAAATGTTTATATTTTCTTTCAATATTTTACCAAAGTGTCGCATTTATTTTAATTTATTGAATCAGAGTTAGTGTCGATTTTCTGGTAGTCAAATGCTGCCGTTACAACAATACAAGCTGTCTGAAGCGAGTCTTCCCTTTCCTTTCTAAGGGTGGTAATTCAGCAAATAAGTAATATTAGCAAAAATCAGTCAGATAGGTTATTTGACATTCCTACGGTAGTATGCGGCTCTTCACTGTCCTTGGAAGTTATCTTTCGTAAAAAATCATTGAATTCGCTGTGTAAATTAACTCAAATTCATTTCAAATCAAAAGAGCATAAGGTAGCATTAATTCTGGTGGAAAGCCCCTTTAATAACCCGACCATCTTAAGCTAAAGGTTGTACGTTCAATCATCGAATATAGATGAACAGTTGTAGAAAATGGCTAAATAAGGTAATCTGAGTTGATTTGTTTGGTTTTGTGTTATTTGTGAGCGATTCTTTGGCATTACGCAAAGCAGACGTTTTAGTAATTATGTTAGTGCTACAAGATCAAACGTCCGTAATAGCATAAGTTTAGAGTTTGTGAGGCAACATCTCCCCATCTGTTTAACAACGCCGCAATTTGAAACAAAGCTAACGATTAAAAACAGGAACCAACATTTTCCTGTTCAACGTTTATTGTATGCTCGGCTAAGAAACAAAAGTTATTCCGAAATACTATCAGATGGGAATCAAGAAGTTATAATTAATTAGCTGCTCGGAAGACAGTAATCTAATATTTTAAACAAGGGGTGTGCGATAGACCTACCTCCAGGTGGTGCACCCTAGTCAACGTATACTCATACATCAAAAAGGTCCATTAACCGGCAGTTGACTTCTGACTACCATGACCTGACTCCATGTCATATTCGATCATTTCCATAGTACTCACCTCACCTTTTTTTCTACATTTGCGTCTGTCTCTTTTGCATCTTTGAAACGTTCTTCTGTTCTCCCCCCCCCCTCTCGACTTTTTTTCACTTTGATATTCCTTCCCTCTGTGAAGCCTGAAGTCAACCATAGGGCTAAAGTGACAACTGCCAAAACGCCCACCATTTAATATAAATAAATAAATATTTTAAACAAAAACCCAAGACTTGCCATTGTCGTACATAAAATAAAAAACAGAGCTTGATTGAATGATTTATAATAGAATAAATATTTGTTGATTTGGTGCTGACTAAGTGAATTATATGTTATTTCGAATTATTGTAAGTAATTATCAAATTCGTCTTGAGTGCGCACTGCTTACGGAGCATTGCTAACTTAAGATTTTTATCAATCCCATCTTTTCTATGCTAAAGCTGTAAACTGCGGAATATCGCTTTTGACCACTTGCCTTCTCGGCCATTGGAAGAAAAAGGTGAATTGAAACGGCAAGGACGACTCTTCTTGACTAAGTAATAGTGGTCAATGAGAGTACTGCACATCACAGACATGCATTCACTGCACTTCCAATGAGGGTTCATGAAATTAGAAAAGTGTACAATTCGAGTCCAAAATCGATAGCGACAAAAATACCTACTGACTTGACCGGGCTCTCTGAATCCTATTAGCACCAACACCCTTTAATACATGCTAGTCACAATAAAAGTTGTAAAGTCTTTGATATTACTATGGTAATGACAACAAAATGTTTTTTGGGGATTTAAGCAATTTTTCAACAAAATAAGTTTTGAATGTGTGAATAATGAATGAAACCCTGTGGGAATAGGCGTTGATAAAAAGTCATAGTGTGCTTAATTTCAATTTATGGCAGAATTCGACGAAAATATCATTTTTGTATAATAAAAAGGTCGAAAAATTCGAATTATGTAGTTAACCCAGGGATTTTTGACTGTCATCTCATCATCTGATAAATAAAATCGATTTAATGCAATAAACTTATCTCAGCTTATTAGATACTCCTAGTAAAAAATAAAACTACGAAAGAAGCATAATAATAAATTGGAATAAAACAACGCATAATGATAAACAAGTGAGTAAAATATATTTTGTGATGTTGCAAGAAAATTTCAAGAGATATTAGTCATTTCAATCCCCATTTTGCTCCTGTACTTTACAATTATCATTGTGTCGTCTTTCAAAAGGTTTATGACATAGTTATATTAGACTATGATATTATAAAATATGCACTTTTAGTCCATCATCCTAATTTATATTTTTAATAAATTAACAAGATTTGTACTATTCACCCATGAAAAGAAGCATTAATTAATACAAATTTAATCGAAATCGTCTTTAGGCCCTCTGACGCTCGTTTGACAATTGCTGTGCTGAGGCTCCAACGCAATACAGGCCTTTATCGGCAATAAACATAGTTATATCTATTTTACCGCACATGGGAGAACCGGCCCGTCACCAGGTAATAATAATCCAAATTTATGTTTCGCTATTCAACAAATCAATTAACATAAATACCCATAACTGGTTACTACTCGACAGCCATCTTCTCCAGTTTGGCTCGTGCTGATGCGTTTGTTGCCATCGACTTCTCAGCTACCAAGCCGAAATCGATACTCATATGTCTATTTATTTATCTCTCTTTCCCCTCTATTTACCACTAAAACACAGCACTTGCCATGCATTTTACTACCTTCTTACTATCTATAGCTATCCATATAATGGCATTGGTTTTATTCGACATTACTTGGTTCACCACTCACCCCCCTAATTCTGGCTTATTATGGAAAAAACTAAATAGCATGTTCTGTTGAAATTTTGCAGAATTGAAACCAATTGACATTGTTTAAGAGAAATTTATGAAAATTAATCTAGCGAGCATTATACACTTAAAAATAAACTGGCATTTAACCGTTTGCAAACTTAATGGAAAAAACTAAAAAATGGCAACCTATACGTCATCTCTTAACTGATAATAGTAGAATGTGTGGTTATCCGAGAAACTTGAATGAACAAAGTGATGATTCCATTTTGCTAATACCCTTAATAATATAGCCAATACTAACCAAAAGAAAATATACTAGAAGTGGGGGGAGGGGATGTGGACATATACTAGCAAAAAAATTAAGGTTGGATCAAAGCTTTAGAAGAAATCCTAAAGAAAACTATTTAATGCTGTGGTAATAATGCCAATGATAATAATACTCACCGCAGCTAGATCAAGATCAAAGAGCGCCCGCTGTTCCTGTTCACGAAGTTCAGCTCTGAGCAACAGTTCATCCTCATCAGAAGTCTCCTCCGAAGTGTCTGAGTAACTAATCTTTATAAAATAAAGACGAACCAATATTTAATTATGAATATTTATAAAAATTTAAAAATGCCTTCAATCTATTACGTTAAAAATTTGTACACTTGATTTAGCAGAAGGAGTATATCTTAGAGCCATTCAGATGGAAAATTTCAAAAGAAATATTTAGTACCGTCAACCATGATGGAGAGTATATTGATGAGAAGTGGTACTTATTCTATAGCAGTAAACTATCAAAGTGAAATTACACTGGAACATTCAAACAAAGGCAACGGTTGCCAGCAAGTAATTTGTATAGTGGAAAGGTACCCTCTAGCCTCAGCCACATCATTGAATATGGGTGAACTTTGACTTGGAGTAAGTGCACATTAATCACGCATATATTATATAAAAAAGCTTCCCAAGCCCGTTAAATGGGGTTAAACATCATCCAGCTGAGTAGTAGAAAGGTAACCAAGAGCCACTCAGTCGAGAAACTCTCGTTAGATCATCACTTAATTGACCAGAGGTAATCGGTGTATTTGCGTTTGCAAACTAATGAATGTACACAAATAGACATTGATCTCATATTTTTATTTTTTGGTCTCGTACCACAGGCGCAAAATTGTTACTTACACATGCCATAAATTTTTGCCTCTATTGAGCTCCTATCTTTGTTCGTTTAACAGTAATATGTCCAAACACAATTTTCAATTTTCAATTGTTTTTACCTTAAACCAACCAGTAGGTAACTGCAGACTTAAAGTAACAGCTCCATATTGATGGTATTATAAGATTAAGATTTCAAAAAATATTTGAAAATTATCGTTTATCGATCTATAGAAAAGTACTACCACAAATAATCCAGCTTTTAACGAGTTGACGGTTCATAAACAGGATGGGGGGTCATAAATTTTTCTAACAAATAGTGCAAAAATTTGTTTCTGATAAGATTGGAGTGCTTGATGAAATCCAAATAAAAGTAAATGAGTAAATGAAGGGTAATTGCTTATACTCCTTCGTTGATGTCGATTAAATTTTTCCATATTTTTATTTGGCTTATTAAAACATATTTTAGTTTTTTCAAAAATTAGAAATTTTTTAATGAATTCATGTTACAAAAAAGGTAAATCTACGTTTTTTGCCAGATAGAAGCAGAAGAGTATGATGTTAGTGAAATTTAAAGAAAACAACATCAGTTTCCTTTTTTGATTGAGTTG